AGGACAAAGCAAATGTTGTACACTTTAATACATAAGTAATTAAAGAATACTTTTAAATGATCCTTCAATGTCTTACTATTTCGGAATTCTGATCTATGAGATATATTCGTAGCAAGTACCACGTGTTAATTATATTAGACTTGGTAACAATTCTAAAGAAGAATTTTTGTTTGAAGGGATCTACACTTGATCTTAAAGAAAAGATTTCTGTACAAATATGCAATTTTTAGAACTATTGCTGTTCCAGAGACGCTTTGGAAACCATATACATCTTTTTAGGAATTGTTTTATAAAGTGTTCTTGTTTTAGATGATTCTGGTCTAAAATTAAGAAGATTAGAAACAGTTAGAAAATTTAGAAAGTTGATTTGAAATCTCTAACAAATGTCCAAGAAGTGGTTTCAGGAAATCTCCTTAGAAAGTTTTTGGATACGATACTATTCTAAAGAAATGGCGGCAAAAAAGTAGTATTTAAGAAATACGAGAGCAGTTAATACATTAACCCCCATTTTCTCATTGTCTGATTATGTTTTATCATAACGATAAATTGACATTTTACATACAAAAATTATTTTAACCGTCAGTATATCCACCTGTTAAACGATAACCGGAGGTTGAGATATTGGCCCTACGATATCGGTAAAACTAATCGATTAAATTGTGGATGTTTTGAAGGTGTTCACTAAACGGATTATTTGGAAGAAAGCAAAAAATCTCTCAATTCATTAAACATTGTATAGTGTATAGGTGGAACATTCAATTATAACCACAACTACCTTAAAAATACTATTTTAAAAACTGTTCCCGCATATTTCACGATCTGTAGTTCTTACAAAAAAAGATTGCAGAAAAAATAATATTTAATAATACAAAATTCTTACTGATTGTTCCGAAAACTTATTGTCAAGATACTAAACGCCCCCCCATTGAGAATCCCTGGAAAACTGCAAACATAGTTTCGGCATGAGAGCAGCTAACAAACAATGGATACAATAGCAACAACAAAACAAAAAAAAGCGAGAGTAAAGAACAAATAATAAAATACATACAACAAATAACAATAAGAATATGTATAAAAACCTTTTTTAATACACACACACACATTCACCAACAAGCTAACAAACATTAAAATGCCAGAATGTCCGATGAATAAACATAGATACACATGGAACTGCGCCGGGTAAAAATCAACAAACTGTAAAAGGGCAAAATGTGTTTGCAGTGTGTTTGTAAATAAAATTGAAAACAAATAAAAGGTAGAAAAATAGTGGTAAGTAGAGGTGGCCAGAGAGAGTAAAGTGTATGAAGGGTAAGTAAGTATGTAAGTGAGTGAGTAAGGAGTGAGTGGTATAGTGCGTGATAGTTTTAACAAACAGTATAAAAATGCATTTGAAAATAATAGGGTTGCCAAAGTTTGCAACATCATTTTTGTATGTTTTTTAACAGCTGTTGGGAGTTCTAATATGTGTTTGTTTGATTTTCTCCTCTGGGCTCTTTTGACAGCACGAGAACTTGTTAATCTGTTATCTAGGTCAAACTTATAGCTATAAAGTTTCAAAAGCATTTAAAGCAATATCTTTCTAAAATTTTAAAATAATAAACATTGAATAACTTAATCTATAAAAGAAACTAGGCTCTGGAATTTAGCAAAACATTTAGTTATTTAAATTAAGTCAAATTTTAGTTTATTTTTATACCCAAAAATATTTTTAACTAATTTCAGTTACATATTATCAACCAATTCAAATTTTTTAAACATTACAAATGTTTGATGCTATGATATTGTTATTCAAATCTATTGAATTAATTCTTTAAAGTAGCTCTATAACAATCATAACTCGTATATAGAGTTGATAAAAAAAACAGCTTAGATATGTTGTTTTTATTAAAATGTTTTGTCAGTTATAAAACAAATATTTGAATTTAAATAGAATAAACATTTAAGATAAATATGTCAATCATCAATAAAGTATATAAAAAAAAAACAAATAAATAATCTTTATAGAGTCTGGGGAATGGGAAAAAGTGTTTGCATTTTTATTTGCATAATTTTTATGTTTAACAAAAATTTACAAAATTTTGCCAGAGACTAACTATTGAATTCTATTGAAATTTTTCAGACGATTTTCCTAGAAATAGAAATATCCTTCAGTAAACATAACAATAAGTTAATAAACTTCGGATTAATACTCTGTCAATTATCTCTTGTTATTCATCAAATGTTAACTTAAAACAGATCAAAGATGTGGGGAATATGATGATCTGCTATGGACAGCCGGATTCACAAAACAAAAATCACAATTCTTAAATCTAATTCCTCATTGCAGGCCATGGATTCCTTTCTGAAGAAAATTAATCAAAGTTGAACTGTGATCTGGTATCTGTACAAAATGTCTTACAATTATTGGGGACTGACTAATCAGTTATCGAATCTGCGCTTCTCTTAGATATTATCTTATTAAATAAGGTTCCGAAAAAATCCATATAATCAATTTAAAATTTATCAAAAAGAAGGTTGATTTTCTGGATCAAATTATCGATGCCCGTCTATTACTGGTCAAAAAGACCAGAAGAATTGATGGCATTAGAAGAATTCAGAAGAAGAGAAATGCTATTTCATATAACCCATTTCATATCGGTAGCTCAAGCTCTAATTACAGGAGGAATTTTTGATTGTTTGCTGTTTGTCTCTTTCAAAAAAAATGGTCCTTCAAACCAAAGTATGATATGGTTCAAATACAGAGATTATTGTGACATTATCAAATACTAGAGATTCCGTCCTAAACCATTATGAAATCATATTCAAGATAAAGAATAAACGAGCTAAGCAAATCTATATTCAAAATGTATTGATCGATATCCAAACTTATCTTCAGATTATATAGAATGTTACATTGCAGGAATTTTAGACAATATTGTTCAGGAGCTGACGGCTATTTTACCCATTCAGGGGTTCCACAAAGATGTTCGATAAAAAAAAGTAAAAATATATCTATATTTGGTAGTTTTTCATAGGGCCATAGAGGTTCTAATAAACAACATCGGAATAGGGGATTACTATCAACTAGCAATACTCCAGCATACCGTCAATGAACGTAATGATTACAGGAGCCAACTGCGGCTGAAAAAGGGCCAATTCTCGAAATACTTAATACGCCAGCATGTTTCTAGAACGTAAACCCACAATTACACTTCTGAAGTGACATATTCAATGACTCGATATATATCATGAGCCCATACAGCAGACCTTTGTCAATATTATCGTCCCATCGTTTGTATCTGAACTACAGCCACAACGTTATAGCCAAAGGGGCTTCACAACTTAAGTTGGTAACGAATAGCGGCTCTGTTTGGTTGCAACGAATCTTTAACGGTTAGAGGTCTCGTGAAACCTGTTTCACACCAAGAATACTTGCACGTGGTGAGGTACAAAACCTTGCAGACTTAAACTAGCAGTTCCTCAGTACAAGATTCTGTCCTAAGCTCTGCACATATTACTGAATATCATAACTAGAAAACCATAGCCGAAGGATTCGTCAATTTGTATACATTTCTTAAGCGGACCACAGCTCTTAATCACTCAACATAGATCCTGCTCTTAACAATGTTATTTTCATATGTATTCCCATGACCTTTGACCCAAATAGAGGATAATGTTTGATTGTCTCACCATCTCGTTGAAAAACATTCGACTTTCATGTACAAATCTGGATATAAAGTACCCACCGATCAGGGATTTAATAGAAGCTTGGCAATCTGTATAAATTCTGATATTCGTATTCAATATCCGATAGTACTTGAACCAATTTGACCCCCTTTTGTTCGCTAATATTTCAGCTTGAGGGATGTTACAGCCATTATTGAGTATAAATGAGATTTTAGTTCCTCATTCTTCAATGAATATGACAATACCAACTACTTTCATGATCTTGAATCCATCTGTGCAGATGCAGTTTTCCAATGGAAGGATTCTTGAGCCTCCGAAGAGATGTGATGCTGGAATTGTCCCAAAAGAGTCGGTTCCGTATATAGTTATTGACATTATAGGAGCCAGGCAGAAAATCAGTTATCTTCGTGGTATCTCTGAAACAAATACTTCATTCTTAGACTTGTCTACTGATAAAAACATCTAAAGATGTGGCTGACTATGCAGTTTAAGACGACATGAAATTTTATTAATTTCGCAAAGGAAATAGCCCTGATCTAGACTGTAGAAGAAAACTAGTATTTGGAAACTTTCTCTTATCAAGCTTGGCTGCTGATAAACTCCTTTAAACATTTGGCTGATAGTGAAGGGATAAACTTTAAGAGATTTAGCAAATCTGTCAGTAGTAAAAACTTTACAAAAGTTAATCGATTTAATTAATAAAAATCAATGCCTATAACGGAAATTCTAAAAATATAAATTCTATGGCAGTATTATTCAACGTTTAAATTTTATAAATTTGAGAGATAATATGATTTTGACCTCTTGAAGGTCTTTAACAAAATAAATGCAATTTTTAAATTACACACACAAAAGCAAAGACAAAACTGATAAGAACTAATAAAAATTTCCTAGGATTTTGTTTTTGGTGTTTTAAGTAACGCTTGGCAACTCTAGGAGATAATAACAACTAAAGAAAAATGAATTAAGAATGCAACAACAACAACAAAAACTGACCACACAATACTTAAAGAAAAGATAAATAAATAAAAACAACAAATACAACAACTGCATATTAAAATGAAATAAGATTTACAAAAACAAACTGCATTATAACAACAAATAAATTGTACACAAATATTTAAATGAGAGGCTTGTTAGGAATTGTAATTTTTTTTGTACTTAACTCTCTCATAAAATCAACAACAACAATAATAAATATACAAAATAATCTTTATACAAAAAAAAAAGCAACAGAATGTTTAACGAAACCGGTTCATAAAAGGGGGCCTTTTTTTAATTACACTTAAATTAAGTTTTAAGAAAAAGTAAAAAGAACAAAGAGAAAAACTTACCTTTAAATAAAACAGAAGATTAAGAGATGAGTGGAGGGGAGATTATCATAAAGTCTTAAAGGGGAAGAGTGATGAGTAAGGCAGAAGAAGGAGTTAACAAAATGTTTCAAGTTTCCTAAGGGAATTTGTCAGTTTTCTAATGTAAAAACTAGAATAGAATAGAACTAAGGAGGGAGAGAAATTGAGAAAACATAAATTTATAAAAATTTTAATGAAAAATAAAAATTCTCCGTTACATTGTTTCCTTTTGTTTGTATCTTTTTAGTACAAACTTTCTTCTTATTAAAAAAGCACACAGCTTAGTTGTTGTACCCCATTCCTTGGCCTCCTCCCTCACTATTCCCAATGATGACTTTTTAAAAGAGCCCCACAACTCATTGATGTACAGCACACGTATCAGCTAAAACTAACGGTTATTTATGGTTTTTACTATATAAACAATTTAATTTTATTTATTGTTGTTTTTGTTTTATTATCATATGTAAATTTTTAGTAGAATTTCACCCACCAAAAACCATAAACATTATTCCAAACAATTTGCTTTAATTTTATTCTAAATTTCTTTTTTTCTTCTTTCTTTCTAATAATTTTACTTTTTTTGCACTTACACCTTCGCTTTACTATAATTTTTTTTTTACTTTTTTTCGCTTTTCACTGACCAAACTTTAATTTCTTTTATTTTTTTTTTTTTTTGTTTTGCGTAAAAATCACCACTACACTACTCAAATTTGTTGTTGTTTTAGATTTTATTAATTGACAACAATCAACAGCAAGTGCGAACGAAGTAAATTGTACGTACAACACAACAACAAATAGCACAAAATCAAATCAAGGCAAAAAAAAAAAAAGAAATAATAATTGTATTTACACGTTCTCCATGAAATGCAAATTTTTGTATCTTTTCATTTTGTAGTAACTATTTGAAGGATTATTATATATTTATCATTTTCTAACAAACTTTTTTTTGCTCGTTTTAGCTGTTTTTTTCTTAAATTATTTTTACACACACGTTTAGTTAGGAGTGGAGAAAAAAACATGAAATTTTATTTATTTTACTTTAGAGCCGCCGCATTTGCAACGAAAAACTAGCAACAACGAACCGTAAATGAAGTATCGCAAACACATATGAAGAAGACGATGAAAAAATATCTTTTTACATTTGACAACTCAACAAATATACCTGCTATAGTTAGTACACACAGTTGCTATTACAAAGTAGTAGATAGTATGTTAATGTTATACAACTGTGGTGAGATTGTTTTAAACTTGGCAGCACTTGAGCGTAAACAGTTAGAGAAGATGATAACAACAGCAGTATTGTTTACTTTTACTTGTTATATTTTTTAAATAAATGAAATAATGAATTAAAACAAAGTGACAAATTGATGAACAAGTGCAGAAAAGAGCTAAGAGGTGAAGTTATAATAATAAATATAAAGAAATACATAAGTTGACCAAACATATAAGGTGAAAAATAAAAAGTTGGGTAATATGTGGGGGAAATTAAAACACCTTGGAGATAGTAAGAAATAAGGAAAATTATTTACAAATCAAACACTTTTCAAAGTCGTTAAAATTGTTCCATACTCAAGTGCATACATTGCATTTTTCACACATTGATTTGCTAAAAAACAACTAACCGTAATAAACAGTATTACCATTTATATTGTACTGTATTATCAGCTTTGTGAACATAGCCGTGTTACGTACAAAATTGTAGTATATTTTAGGGATAAAGTAATTTCATTAAATAGAATAATTGAAAGAGAATTGAGTTAAAATGATGAAAGAAAAAAGTAAAACACGCACAAAAGTAAAAAAATATAAGTAAAATTCCTTGGAAGTCAAGAAAATTCACCACAAAATATATGTCAAGGTCATTTTTAAATCGGTTTTCCTAAATGTATACAGTGTTTCTGCTTCTATTTGTAACAACAACAACAAAGAGAACCTACGTTAGCCTAATGACTCCATGTATTGACATTTTCAAAGCACACAGTATTACCATTAATGCTTTCCTGCTTTATCATCTTATAAATACGTATAGTTACAGATAAAACTATGGCATATCTTAGGGAAAATAAGTTTGAAAAGCAAATTTTATTAGTGTTTAATAAAGAACAGTATTGCTAGCGTATTCAAGTATATCATTTGTAACATTAAGTAATAAATTTAAGTAGCATACTTTTAAAAAATACTGAAAGCCTGTATTACCACTTATATGAACTGCCTTATCACAATTTGTCATATGGCCGTATTGAAGGCAAAAAATATAAAAAGAAACTATAGCAGACTTTACGGGTTGAATTCATGCAATATTTACTCTTATACACCAAGAGTAAATATTAATTCAACAACTGTTATACACTAGTTTTTGTACCAGGCAATATAGAACTTTTCGGTACTTTTTCTAATATAAAAACTTCTGATAAATAGACCATCGTAGTCAATAGTCCACAAGTCTATAGTCGTCTAGTCTAATCTATAGTGTAGTCTATAGTCTAGTCTATAGTTTAATCTATAGTGTAGTCTATAGTCTAGTCTATAGTCTAGTCTATAGTCTAATCTATAGTGTAGTTTACAGTCTAGTCTAGTATATAGTCTATTCTGTAGTCTAGTCTATACTCTAGTCTATAGTCTATTATATAGTCCAGTCTAGAGTCTATTCTATAGTCCAGACTATAGTATATTCTATAGTCCAGACTATAGTATATTCTATAGTCTAGACTATATCAAGTCTATATACTAGTCTATAGTCTAGTTTATAGTTTTAGTATATAATCTAGTCTATAGATAGTCAATTGTCTAGTCAACAGCCGAGTCTATAGTCTAGTCAATAGCTGAGTCTATAGTCTAGTCAATAGCCGAGTCTACAGTATAGTCTACAGTCTAGTCTATAGTCTAGTCTATAGTCTAGTCTAAGTCTAGTCAATAGTCTAGTCTATAGTCCTAGGCTCCTATAGTCTAGTCTATAGTCTAGTCCTATAGTCTAGTCTAGTAGTCTAGTCTATAGTCTAGTCTATAGTCTAGTCTATAGTCTAGTCTATAGTCTAGTCTATAGTCGAGTCTATAGTCAATCTATGTCTAGTCTATAGTCTAGTGCTATAGTCTAGTCTATAGTCTAGTCTATAGTCTAGTCTATAGTCTAGTCTAGTCTAGTCTATAGTCTAGTCTATAGTCTAGTCTCTAGTCTAGCTATAGTCTAGTCTAGTCTATAGTCTAGTCTATAGTCTAGTTTATAGTCTAGTCTATATCTAGTCTATAGTCTAGTCTATAGTCTAGTCTATAGTCTAGTCTATAGTCTAGTCTATAGTCTAGTCTATAGTCTAGTCTATAGTCTAGTCTATAGTCTAGTCTATAGTCTAGTCTATAGTCTAGTCTATAGTCTAGTCTATAGTCTAGTCTATAGTCTAGTCTATAGTCTAGTCTATAGTCTAGTTATAGTCTAGTCTATAGTCTAGTCTATAGTCTAGTCTATAGTCTAGTCTATAGTCTAGTCTATAGTCTAGTCTATAGTCTAGTCTATAGTATAGTCTATAGTCTAGTCTATAGTCTAGTCTATAGTCTAGTCTATAGTCTAGTCTATAGTCTAGTCTATAGTCTAGTCTATAGTCTAGTCTATAGTCTAGTCTATAGTCTAGTCTAGTCTATAGTCTAGTCTATAGTCTAGTCTAGTCTATAGTCTAGTCTATAGTCTAGTCTATAGTCTAGTCTATAGTCTAGTCTATAGTCTAGTTTATAGTCTAGTTTATAGTCTAGTCTATAGTCTAGTCTATAGTCTAGTCTATAGTCTAGTCTAAGTCTAGTCAATAGTCTAGTCTATAGTCTAGTCTATAGTCTAGTCTATAGTCTAGTCTATAGTCTAGTCTATAGTCTAGTCTATAGTCTAGTCTATAGTCTAGTCTATAGTCTAGTCTATAGTCTAGTCTATAGTCTAGTCTATAGTCTAGTCTATAGTCTAATCTATAGTCTAGTCTATAGTCTAGTCTATAGTCTAGTCTATAGTCTAGTCTATAGTCTAGTCTATAGTCTAGTCTATAGTCTAGTCTATAGTCTAGTCTATAGTCTAGTCTATAGTCTAGTTTATAGTCTAGTCTATAGTCTAGTCTATAGTCTAGTCTATAGTCTAGTCTATAGTCTAGTCTATAGTCTAGTCTATAGTCTAGTCTATAGTCTAGTCTATAGTCTAGTCTATAGTCTAGTCTATAGTCTAGTCTATAGTCTAGTCTATAGTCTAGTCTATAGTCTAGTCTATAGTCTAGTATGTCTAGTCATAGTCTAGTCTATAGTAGGTCTAGTCTATAGTCTAGGTCTATAGTCTGTAGTCTATAGTCTAGTCATAGTAGTCTATAAGTCTAGAGTCTAGTCTCTAGTCTAGTCTAATACGTATAGTCTATAGTCTTAGTCTATAGTTAAGTCTATAGTCTAGTCTATAGTCTAGTCTATAGTCTAGTCTATAGCAGTCATGTCGTCTAGTCTATAGTCTAGGCTATAGTCTAGGTCTAGTCTATAGTCTAGTCTATTCTAGTCTATAGGTCTAGTCTAATAGTCTAGTTTATAGTCTAGTTTATAGTCTAGTCCTATAGTCTAGTCTATAGATCTAGTCTATAGATCACTAGTCTATAGTCTAGTCTATAGTCTAGTCTATTCTAGTCTATTAGTCTAATCTAGTCGTATACGTCTTGTCTATAGTCCAGTCTGGTCTATAGTTTAGTTTATAGTTAGTCTGTCTTGTAGTATATATTCTAGTCTATATTCTAGTCCTTAGTCTTGTCTATAGTCTATAGTCTAAAAGAGTACTAATTTTGATATACCTTTTAGTTAGTACTATTTTAAAATTTAAATTTTCCATGCTGTTTTGTTTAACATAGAATCAAACATAGAATCAAATTTTCAAACAAAATTCTTTCCAAAATTTGAAGACTTCTTCAACACAATCAATCAAAAATGTAATTTATACTTTTCATAACTAAATGTTTAAAAACGATGCCGACCAACAGAAATTAAACACACCTTGAATAATTAGTTTTATTACTGCATTTAGAGTTCACTACTATTTGCTGCTGCATTTTTTTTTCATTGGAACATTAATTTGTTTTATTTTTATTGTTTTAAGATGTTTCATTATATTATGTATGTATATTCATTACTTATTTGTTTTTATATATAATTTATAAAGTTTAACTATATATTTTATTTAATTTTTATATAATAACTTACTTTGAAATTATTTTAAAACTCTTAAAAAAGATGTTTTCAAAACAGTTTAAGTTACGCATTTGTTAAAATTTCTATAACAGACCTGCGAGTATATCAACGTTTTTGTTTTTTTCTTTGTTAAGTGTAAAGTTAAAAGTTGTGAAAATCATTTCAACACAATAAATGAAAAGCTAAAATAATATTTTTGTTTATAATTTTAAAATTCGTTAATATGTCGTTTAAAGTAATAAAAAAGGCCAATTTTGTTTTTAGTTATTTATTTTTTGGGATTTAGGTAAATTTTCACTAAAATTTCGTTTTTTATTTTTGCTACAAGTACAAATATAATGTGGACGTATTAAAAGCTAAAGCTAATAAATTATGTTGTTTGTTTTTATTAAATTAAATAAAAAATAATATAAACAATTAAATATAATTTTTAGGAAATACATTTTTATAATTTTAAATATTATTTAGGCAGAGTCGCAGAGATTAAAGGGAACTAGGGCTGAACTTGAACTGAAGTGAACTGAACTAGAACTGAACCAGAACTGAACTAGAACTGAACTAGAACTGAACTAGAACTGAACTAGAACTGAACTAGAACTGAACTAGAACTGAACTAGAACTGAACTAGAACTGAACTAGAACTGAACTATAACTGAACTATAACTGAACTTGAACTGAACTTGAACTGAACTAGAACTGAACTAGAACTGAACTAGAACTGAACTAGAACTGAACTAGAACTGAACTAGAACTGAACTAGAACTGAACTAGAACTGAACTATAACTGAACTTGAACTGAACTAGAACTGAACTAGAACTGAACTAGAACTGAACTAGAACTGACTAGAACTGAACTAGAACTGAACTAGAACTGAACTAGAACTGAACTAGAACTGAACTAGAACTGAACTAGAACTGAACTAGAACTGAACTAGAACTGAACTAGAACTGAACTAGAACTGAACTAGAACTGAACTAGAACTGAACTAGAACTGAACTAGAACTGAACTAGAACTGAACTAGAACTGAACTAGAACTGAACTAGAACTGAACTAGAACTGAACTAGACTGAAACTAGAACTGAACTAGAACTGAACTAGAACTGAACTAGAACTTGAACTAGAACTGAACTAGAACTGAACTAGAACGGAACTAGAACTAGAACTAGAATTGAACTAGAACTGAACTAGAACTGAACTAGAACTGAACTAGAACTGAACTAGAACTGAACTAGAACTGAACTAGAACTGAACTAGAACTGAACTAGAACTGAACTAGAACTGAACTAGACTGAACTAGAACTGAACTAGAACTGAACTAGAACTGAACTAGAACTGAACTAGAACTAGAACTGAACTAGAACTGAACTAGAACTGAACTAGATCTGAACTAGAACTGAACTAGAACTGAACTAGAATTGAACTAGAACTGAACTAGAACTGAACTAGAACTGAACTAGAACTGAACTAGAACTGAACTAGAACTGAATCTAGAACTGAACTAGAACTGAACTAGAACTGAACTAGAACTGAACTAGAACTGAACTAGAACTGAACTAGAAACTGAACTAGAACTGAACTGAACTAGAACTGAACTAGAACTGAACTAGAACTGAACTAGAACTGAACTAGTACTGAACTAGAACTGAATTAGAACTGAACTAGAACTGAACTAGAATTGAACTAGTACTGAACTAGAACTGAAACTAGAACTGAACTAGAACTGAACTAGAACTGAAATAGAACTGAACTAGAACTGAACTAGATCTGAACTAGAACTGAACTAGAACTGAACTAGAATTGAACTAGAACTGAACTAGAACTGAACTAGAACTGAACTAGAACTGAACTAGAACTGAACTAGAACTGAACTAGTACTGAACTAGAACTGAATTAGAACTGAACTAGAACTGTGAACTAGAATGAACTAGTACTGAACTAGAACTGAACTAGAACTGAACTAGAACTGAAAGAGAACTGAACTAGAACTGAACTAGAACTGAACTAGAACTGAACTAGAACTGAACTAGAAACTGAACTAGAACTGAACTAGAACTGAACTAGACTGAACTAGAACTGAACTAGAACTGAACTAGAACTGAACTAGAACTGAACTAGAACTGAACTAGAACTGAACTAGAACTGAACTAGAACTGAACTAGAACTGAACTAGAACTGAACTAGAACTGAACTAGAACTGAACTAGAACTGAACTAGAACTGAACTAGAACTGAACTAGAACTGACTAGAACTGAACTAGAACTGAACTAGAACTGAACTAGAACTGAACTAGAACTGAACTAGAACTGAACTAGAACTGAACTAGAACTGAACTAGAACTGAACTAGAACTGAACTAGAACTGAACTAGAACTGACTAGAACTGAACTAGAATGAACTAGAAACTGAACTAGAACTGAACTAGAACTGAACTAGAACTGAACTAGAACTGAACTAGAACTGAACTAGAACTGAACTAGAACTGAACTAGAACTGAACTAGAACTGAACTAGAACTGACTAGAACTGAACTAGGAACTGAACTAGAACTGAACTAGAACTGAACTAGAACTGAACTAGAACTGAACTAGAACTGAACTAGAACTGAACTAGAACTGAACTAGAACTAGAACTAGAACTGAACTAGAACTGAACTAGAACTGAACTAGAACTGAACTAGTACTGAACTAGAACTGAATTAGAACTGAACTAGAACTGAACTAGAACTGAACTAGAACTGAACTAGAACTGAACTAGAACTGAACTAGAACTGAACTAGAACTGAACTAGAACTGAACTAGAACTGAACTAGAACTGAACTAGAACTAGAACTAAACTAGAACTGAACTGAGTGTGCTAGAACTGTACCAGAACTGTTCCTTAACCCCTTAAACTCCTTGTGACATGCCTAATAATAAGGGCCTTTCATACGGCAGAGTATTTGAAGTTATTAAACAAAATTACAAAATATTTTTTTTTTTTTTGTTTAAATACCAATTTATACTACAAATACTCAATAGCTGTTTCCTTTTAAAATAAACAATTTTAATTAAATAAAAAAATTTTTCAAAACAAAAAATCCAATAAAATTGTTAAAATTTCAAAATAGGAAACTTAAGATTCACTCAACTTTCCCTTGGCAACACAAACACTTGACGAGGTCTTTTTTTCAAAACACAACACACAAATTGAGACAAACTTAAGGGAAATTATATAGAAATAAATACAACCAATATAGTAAACATAGTAAACATAATGATAACATTATAATAATTAAAATAAATACTTAAATAATTAATTAATAGTTTAACTTGTTTTTCATAATAATAATAATTAATTATCATTCATCTTTATAATAAAGTTTTTAAAATATTTTTGTATAATTTTTTTTAAAGTAGTTTATCAGTTGAAATTATTTGCTAAATCTTGCCTTATTAATGGTCTGTTTTTCGGCTTCGCTAAATTCCAAAATGCTTTCGATGGCCTGCAAATGCCCTTGGGAGTTTTCCTTGTCGGTAAGGAAATAGTAAACAGCACTTTTTAGGAATTGTAATGTAACTTCGGGATCCACATGAGTGCGATTCTTTTGCGCTTCCAATAAACGGCGATAAATGGTCTGCCATGTTTTTTTTTTTTGTTTTTATTAATATTTAACAAAATTTGAAATATTTCAAATGAAGGCAACAAAAAAAAGAGAAATAGGGGGAAGAATAAAAGGGGAAATATTATATTTTAAATTTACTCTTTAAAAAATAATTAATTAAAATAAAAAAAAAAAAATAAAACAAAATGTAATTAATTTTTTTTAAACAAATGAAAACACCAAAATAATTGTTATTTTATTTACAATAACTGGATAAATATGATTTTATTATTATTTTAAAGAAAATGAACAAAAATGAAATGTTTAAAATGTGCTAATTGTTTTATAAATGATTTATTATAATGATAATGAAACCTGTTAAAAGTTTAATAATTTCTATATATTTTTTATAAGATACGTTTAAAATATTTAAAACATTTATTACTAAATAGTAAATTATGATTTAAAATTGTTTATAAGTTATTATTTATTAAAAAGTATAGAGTTTTTTTTATAAATTGTTGTATATGTATATAACAATATTAATTAGTAGGTAATATGTATTTTGTTTTTAAAACATGCTAAATTATTTAAAAGTTTATTTTTAAAAACTCTATTTATATAATGTTTTACAATTTTAATTACACAAATTTTTCAACCGAGTTTACTTTTTTGTTTTGTTTTATGTATATTACACACAAAATACTGAGTTGTTTGTTTTTATTAAAAAATGTTTTCGAAAAAACCTATATAACTTAGATAAATATTTTCTTTTGTAACTAAATATATGTTTACATACCTTTAGACAACTGCCCGGGAATATTTATATTTCATATTGTACATAATGTTTATTTACAAAAAAATTAAAAAAAAAATTTTTTAAATACGTTCGTGAATCCAAATTGTTTTCACAAGTCTAGGCGAATTTAACACATTAGGCTATCGGGCGAATTCAGTCGATACGGTAAGAGTGTCAGTTTCTTCTTTGATGAATTCAAGTATCAAAATCCTTATTTTGAAAATATTGAATTTGAATTTTTAAATTCTTCTTAAACTTATATTTTGAAAATTTATTGGTAATACTCAAGAATTAATAAAAATTTAAAAAAATTTTCAAATACAAATTTTTTTTGATAGAAATAAAACTGAAATCATATTTCTATAAATCCTCGTGAATGAGAAAACAAAATCGATAGAGGTAATTAATTTTTAATACACAAAGTTTGGATCTAGGCCAAGTCGATCAACTTTTTCAATTCTATATACCTATATCTGAATGTCTGAATTCGCCCTTTCCAATCAATTTATAAAGATTCACCTTGATGGACAATGCTAATTGAATAATTACTGCATTTACGAACGTATCAATTGTTGAAACAGAAACATTTACTTTAATAGTTAGATACTAGTTGGAAATCGGGAAATTTCTGAAATAGTTTTTTTTTTTTTTTATAATTACAATAAGTAAAACAATATTAATAGAAATAGATATAGAGAAAACTTTAAATAGAATTTAACATCAATATCGAAGTCAAACTATTCTTTTATATTTGCGTTACATTTTAAAGTTTGTTGGTAAATTTCAATCTTTAGTGGGGACCTTATGAATCATAAATCCTTGTTATTGAAATTATAATTTGTTTGCTAAAGAGTTCCGGCCATAAGGTCTTCGTAATAAGATCTTCCTTTTAATAAAGGTTTTCTAAAGATTTGAAGGTTTGTAGAAAAAATATTTCATAGAGATGAGATCGAAAAATCTAAAGACTAAAGATTAGACTGCAAACTTGACTATAGGATAGTCTAGTCTATAATCTATTCTATAGACTAGACTATAGACTAAACTATAGACTTGACTATAGACTAAACTATAGACTAGACTATAGACTAGACTATAGACTAGACTATAGACTAGACTATAGACTAGACTATAGACTAGACTATAGACTAGACTATAGACTAGACTATAGACTAGACTATAGACTAGACTATAGACTAGACTATAGACTAGACTATAGACTAGACTATAGACTTGACTATAGACTAGACTATAGACTAGACTATAGACTAGACTATAGACTAGACTATAGACTAGACTATAGACTAGACTATAGACTAGACTATAGACTAGACTATAGACTAGACTATAGACTAGACTATAGACTAGACTATAGACTAGACTATAGACTAGACTATAGACTAGACTATAGACTAGACTATAGACTAGACTATAGACTAGACTATAGACTAGACTATAGACTAGACTATAGACTAGACTATAGACTAGACTATAGACTAGACTATAGACTAGACTATAGACTAGACTATAGACTAGACTATAGACTAGACTATAGACTAGACTATAGACTAGACTATAGACTAGACTATAGACTAGACTATAGACTAGACTATAGACTAGACTATAGACTAGACTATAGACTAGACTATAGACTAGACTATAGACTAGACTATAGACTAGACTATAGACTAGACTATAGACTAGACTATAGACTAGACTATAGACTAGACTATAGACTAGACTATAGACTAGACTATAGACTAGACTATAGACTAGACTATAGACTAGACTATAGACTAGACTATAGACTAGACTATAGACTAGACTATAGACTAGACTATAGACGAGACCTATAGACTAGACTATAGACTAGACTAGACTAGACTATAGACTATATGACTAGACTATAGACTAGACTATAGACTAGACTATAGACCTAGACTATAGACTAGACTATAGACCTAGACTATAGACTACTATAGACTAGACTATAGACTAGACTATAGACTAGACTATGACTAGACTGTAGACTAGACTATGACTAACTATAGACGATGACTAAGACTAGACTAGACTAGACTATAGACTAGACTATAGACTAGACTATAGACTAGACTATAGACTAGACTATAGACTAGACTGTAGAGACTAGACTATAGACTAGACTATAGACTAGACTATAGACTAGACTATAGACTAACTAGACTAGACTATAGACTAGACTATAGACTAACTATAGACTAGACTATAGACTAGACTATAGACTAGACTATAGACTTTTTAAAAGACTATAGCCTAGACTATCAGACTAGACTATAGACTAGAGCTAGACTACCTATAGACTCGAATAGACTAGACTGACTAGACTATAGGAATGACTATAGATTAGAATATAGGACAAGACTTATAGACAAGATTATAGGCTAGACTATGGACTGGATTATATACTAGTCTATAGAATAGCTCTGACTAGACTATAGGACTACTACATAGGACTAGACTATAGAACTAGACTATAGACTACGCTATAGCTAGACTATAGACTAGACTATGGACTAGTCTATAGACTATACTATAGACCAATACTATAGGACTATACTTATAAGATTATACTATAGGACTATACTACAGAATAGTACTAGATTAGACTACAGAGTAAACTATAGACAAGATTATAGGCAAGACTATGCACTAGATTATAGACTAGACTATGGCAGACTATAGACTATAGAGTAGACTACAAGTAGGCTATAGAGTAGACTATAGAGTTGATTATAGAGTAGACTATAGACTATGGACTAGACTATAGACTAAACTATAGACTAGACTATAGACTAGACTATAGACTAAACTATAGACTAGACTATAGACTAAACTATAGACTAGACTATAAACTAGACTATAGATTAGACTATAGACTAGACTATAGATTAGACTATAGAGTAGATTATAGAGTAGATTATAGACTAGACTATGAACTAGACTATAGACTAGACTACAGACTAGACTATAGACTAGACTATAGACTATACTATGGACAAGACTATAGACTAGACTACAGACTAGACTATAGACAAGACTATAGACTAGACTATAGACTAGACTAAGGACTAGACTATAGACTAGACTATGGACTAGACTATGGACTAGACTATAGATTAAACTATAGACTATAGACTAGACTATGGACTAGTCTATTAGACTATAGAATAGACTAGAGTATAGACTAGAAAATAGTATACTATAGAGTAGACTATAGAATAGACTATAGACTAGACTACAGACTATACTATACACAAGACTGTAGACTAGACTATAGTCTAGATTGTTCACCAAACTATAGACTAGACTATTACGGCATCAAGTGGACTTTTATATACTATACATTTCAAATTAAATATTTGTATTAGTTTGTGGTAAGGTTAAAAAAGGACCCAACGATTTCCTTTAGATTAATCAACCACTTTGGCTTCTTAGCGAATAAACAGCTTAAAATTTAAAAACGGTAAGATGATATTTTCGGACTATTTTTTATAGTCGTTCAATAAAATGTATAACAAATCTAGAGCTTTTGCATTTTATAGAAATTCTTTAAGGACTTTATAACCTATTAACAAAATATTTGAAATTTTTTAAAAGCTTTAAACTCGGTTTTTAATAAAATAAACTAACTCACTGCAAAAAAAAAGGAACGAATAATGACCATATGAGACCAATACACCACAATTTTAATAAGATGAGAAGCCCATTAAATGAATGTATACAAGGATGGATGAATGCATATAAGTAAATGGGACACACCTCCTAAATTATTAATATAAACTTATAGTTTAAACTAAATACCGATAATGGTTTCTTACTTTTTTTTTTTTTTGAATGAACAAATTTAATGAGATTAACAAATGAACAAATGAGAAAAAAAATGTGTTAAAATGAAACGGAAATACAGCACAACACCGCGTTTAAATTGGAAAATCATAATAAATTATAATAAAAATTACAAATTATAAACCAATCTATAAACTTAAAAAGTTAATTTTTAATAAAATTTTGTTTAAAAAAATTAAAAGAAAAACAACTAAATTTTTTGTGTGAGTGGAGGAACTTTTACAAACCTTACGCGCGCCGAGTACCCACAAAGAAATTGCCTCTTTTGCAGTAAGGAGAGCATGATTATTGCCGCATTCATTTCTACATTCTGCTGCCTATAAAATATTGGATATTTTGGAATTGTTTTTGTTTTTTTGGTTGGTAGGTAGGTATTTGTTTTTTTTTTTTTTCGAAAGAATAAAAAAAGAAATTTCAAATAAACAAATTTTGAAAATTAAATTTGTAATAAAATTAAAATTATAAAAGAAATGTTTGACGTTATTTTTAGGATTTTTTTTTTTTGGGTTTTGTTGTCACTTAATTAGTAAAATTGCTTAGTAGATAAAATGCAGCAAATAAAAAAAAAAACGATTTTATAAAATTTAACAAAACAATTAGTTAAATCAAAATAAAGTTTTGAGTTTAACAACAACTACTTTTTTTTGTTAAAAATATAATTAAAGGCATGCTTAAAGGTTTTTTGCTTTTTTGTTTATAAGAAAAATATTAATTTTTAGAAAATTTTACTTTTAGTTTTAATTTATTGGTTAGTTTAATTAGTTTTTGTTTAAGTTTGTTAATAATTTCTCTAAAAAACCATGCCCTCCTAAATTATTTGAGGTTAATGTGTTTTTTTGTTTCAAATACTACTTAAGAAAACTAATTAACTAAAAATGAGTGTAAACAAATAATATTAAACTAAAGAAAACAGTATTGGAAGTGTTAACTAATATCAGGGAGAGGGAGATCGACGATTTTGAAATGCTTTAAGATCGTGGTGCTTTAATTTTAAATAGAGAAAGAGAGAGAGTCTGTGCTAGATAGTAAGAAAATTTCTTTAATTAATTGTGTCTACTTAAGACGAAGACTAAATTTCCTAAAGAAAATAGTTCCCCGGAAACCAGAGACAATATTTTCTTAAGAATTGAAACAAAATTGAGGAGAAAGCAAAATTGCTTAAAACAACTGACTGCCCGCAAGTTGAAGACAAGGTTTCCTAAAGAAATTAAGTCTCCACAAGACAATGACAAAATTTCGTAAAGAAATAGAATCACCACCAGATGCAGGCAAATTTCATAAAGAAATTGAGTCTCTTACAAACGTAGAGTAGAAGTTCCTAGGAGCTAAAATTTCTTAAAGAACTTTATTTTTCGCCAGACGAGGAAAAGGTTTCCTAGAGAAATTTACTCTCCGCTAGAGGGAGAGTAAGTTTCTTAAAGAAATTGAGTCTCGGCAAAATAGAGAAATGAAATTCCAGAAGAATTGAAGGAGATAAATTTATCTAAAGATTTTTTTAAAACAAATTGAGTCTCCACCAAATGGAGGCAAAAATTTCTTAATAAATTGAGTCTCCACTAAACGTAGACAGAATTTCTTAAAGGAATTGAGTCTTCGCAAAAAGGCATCCACATATCATCAAGAAATATAGTCTCCACCTGAAGGGGATAACATTTCTTTAAACAAATTGAGTCTTCACCAAACGTAGAAAAATATTTTCCTGACAAAATTGAATCTCCAGCAGACGGAGATAGAATTTCTTAAAGGAATTGAGTGTCCGCATGAAGGCATCCTAATATTATCAAGAAATATAGTCTCCACCAGACGGAGATAAAATTTATTAAACAAATTGAGTCTACACCAAACGGAGACAAACATTTCTTAATAAAATTATATCTCCACCTGACGGAGACTGAATTTCTTAAAGAAATTTAGTCTCCTAAAGAAGGCATCCAAATATCATCAAAAAATATAGTATCCACTACACGGAGATAAAATTTATTAAATAAATTGAGTCTCCACCAAACGGAGACAAAAATTTCTTAATAAAATTGTGTCTCCACCAGACAGAGATAAAATTTCTTATAGGAAAGCATCCAATTATCATCAAGAAATATAGTCTCCACCGGACGGATATCAAATCTATTAAATAAAATAAGTCTCCACCAAACGGGGACAAAATTTTCATAATAAAATTAAATCTCCAGCAGACGGAGATAGAATTTCTTAAAGGAATTGAGTGTCCGCATGAAGGCATCCTAATATTATCAAGAAATATAGTCTCCACCAGACGGAGATAAAATTTATTAAACAAATTGATTCTACACCAAACGGAGACAAACACTTCTTAATGAAATTGTGTCTCCACCAGACGGAGACTGAATTTCTTAAAGGAAATGAGTCTCTGTAAGAAGGCATCCAAATATCATCAAGAAATATAGTCTCCACTACACGGAGATAAAATTTATTAAATAAATTGAGTCTCCACCAAACGGAGACAAAAATTTCTTAATAAAATTGTGTCTCCACCAGACAGAGATAAAATTTCTTATAGGAAAGCATCCAATTATCATCAAGAAATATAGTCTTCACCGGACGGATATCAAATCTATTAAATAAAATAAGTCTCCACCAAACGGGGACAAAAATTTCATAATAAAATTAAATCTCCAGCAGAAGGAGATAGAATTTCTTAAAGCAATTGAGTATCCGCATGAAGGCATCCAAATGCTGTCAAGAAATATAGTCTTCACCAGACGGAGATAAAATTTATTAAACAAATTGAGTCTACACCAAACGGACACAAACATTTCTCAATAAAATTATGTCTCCACCTGACGGAGACTGAATTTCTTAAAGGAAATTAGTCTCTGTAAGAAGGCATCCAAATATCATCAAGAAATATAGTCTCCACTACACGGAGATAAAATTTATTAAATAAATTGAGTCTCCACCAAACGGAGATAAAAATTTCTTAATAAAATTGTGTCTCCACCAGATAGAGATAAAATTTCTTATAGGAAGACATCCAATTATCATCAAGAAATATAGTCTCCACCTGACGGATATCAAATCTATTAAATAAAATAAGTCTCCACCAAACGGGGACAAAAATTTCATTGTAAAATTAAATCTCCAGCAGAAGGAGATAGAATTTCTTAAAGGAATGGAGTATCCGCATGAAGGCTTGTAAATATCATCAAGAAATATAGCCTCCACCAGACGGAGATAAAAATTATTAAACAAATTGAGTCTCCACCAAATGGAGACAAACATTTCTTAATGAAATTGTGTCTCCACCAAACAGAGACAAAATTTTGTAAAGGAAGTGAGTCTCTATAAGAAGGCATCCAAATATCATCAAGAAATATAGTCTCCACCTGACAAAGAGAAAATTTCTTTAAGTGATGAAGCCTCCACCGGAAGGAGATAAATGTATCTAAAGAAATTTAGTCTTCACCAGTCAAAGATAAAATTTCTTTTAAAAAATTGAATTTCCGCAAGAAGGAATCCAAATATCATAAAGTATACACCGGACAGAGAAAAGAAATTGAGTCTCGGCAAGACGCCCACAAAATTTTCTTTAAAAAATGGGATCTCCGCTAAATGGAGACAAAATTGCCTTAATAAATTAAGTGTCGACTAGACAGGTAAAACAATTTTTTTTGAAGAAATTAAGTCTCTGCCGGACTAAGACAAAATTTCTTTAAGAAATCGAGTATTCGCCAGATGAAGAAAGGAAATTCCTTAAGAAGTTGAATCTCCGCCAGACAAAATTCTCTTAAGAAATTGAATCTCCACCAGACCGAGAAAAAAATTCCTTACAAAGTTGAGACTTCTCCAGATGAACACAAAACTTCTTTGAGAAAATGAGTCTATGTCAGTTGTACACAAAAAGTTATCAGTAAATAGGGTGTTGACAAGTCGGGCACATAATTTTCTTATGAAAGTAAGACTCTGCCGGAAAAACACAAAAATTTGTTAAACAAATTAAGTCTTTACCAGATAGAGAAAAGAAATTTCTTATGAAATTGAGTCTCCACCAGATGGAGAAAAGAAAATCCTTAAGAAATTGAATCTCTATCAGACGGAGACAAAATTCCTTTAAGAAATTGAGTCTCCACCAGACATAGCCAGAATACCCTTTATAAATTGGGTCTCCGCCAGCTTAAGATATTAAGTCTCCGCCAGAAAGAAAAGATATTTCTTTAAAATACAATTCAATTTCTACCGAGATTTTAGAAAATTCTTTTATAATTTGATTGTTTTCAATAGAAAGAATTCTGAACTCTTTAAAAAACAAAGTTCTAAAAATTTACTATTTACCATTATTGAACCTTTCCAACACTTCCAACATTTGTTAAATCAAAAGAAATTAATGAAAATATTTTAAATATATAAAATGTTTTTTTAATTAAAAATCATAAATGGTCAGTAATGTTATTGCAATAATATTAATTTTATAATGTTATTTAAAGTTAAGACAAATAATATTAAATTATAAATGTTAATTGTTAATTTATTATTTTTATAAAAAAAAGATAAATTTTAATTTAATTTTTTTTTTTTTCAACTTAAACTTAAAGAGAATTATTTTTAAAAATAATTCCAACACATTTAAACCAAAATAAAAAAAAATTAAAAAAATATTGCAAATACTATGCAAGAGTAAAAATAATTCAAACAAATTTAAACATTATTAAATTTTGCTTTCAAAATGTTACAACAACAAAAAAAGCAAATTAAAAATGTATTTGTTTATCGTCTAAAATTTATATATACTAATGGTGCTGAACTGTTTTTTGGTTATTTTTTTCATCGAAATTTTTATAATCGTTTCGTATACGAAAAATAATGAGTGATATAAGTATATCGTGTGTTTTGAATTTTTAACTACTTTTTGAATTATATCCAAAAAAATATAGTAATGGAACAAACAAACACACACAAAAAAATTACATTTAGGTGAGATGAATTTCAAAACTTATTGCATGAGCGAGTGTGACAAATAGTTAGAGAAGACACACGAAACACACAATGATAAATTAAGACAAAACAGAAAATTTAAGAAAACAAAATGAATTTTTCACTCAAGGCACAACGCAAACAAAATGCAATATGCAAAATAATATGGTAAAGATTATAATAAAGATTTTGAAAAATCTTACACGTATGTTTTCCAATTCATCCTGGGTGGATTGCAATTGATGCAGCAACTCATTGATCGATACTTTATTCTGTGGTGCTCGGTGTGCCAATTCTAAAGCCTGGAATTAAAGGAAATTGTGATTTTGAGAAATATTTTTAATAGAGAATACTATTTAGGGAAGAGTTTCTTGAATCAGAAATCCAATTTTTAAAGGAACAGTATTTTTAAATTTTTAAGAGAAAAAATTTTTAGTGTTAAAGGGAAAATTTTTTTTAGATTTTGAAGAGAAAAATTTGTAAAATTTTTAAGAGAAATTTTTTTTTTCAAATTTTTAAAAGAAAAAATTTTTAAATTTTAAAGTGTAGTTTTTTTTTAATTCTCAAGAAAAAAATTTTATTTTTAAGAGAAAAAATTTTGTAAATTTTTAATTTTTAAGAGAAAAATTTTTTTAAATTTGTAAGAGAAATTTTTTTTTAAATTTGTAAAAGAAAAATTTTTTTAAATTTGTAAGAGAAAATTTTTTTTAAATTGTTAGGAGAAAAAATTTTTGAAAGAAAAAAATGTTATTTTTTTAAATTTTCAAGAAATTTTTAATAGAAAAAAATTATTAATAAAAAAAAATTTTTAAGAGAAAACTATGTTTTTGTAAGAGAAAAATTTTTAAGAGATTTTGTTTTTAACTTTTAAGAGAAAAAAAAATTGTTTGAAAATGATTAAGAGAATTTTTTAATTTTCAAAAAAAGAACATTTTTTTAAGAGAACATAAAATTAAAAAAATAAATTTTTAAGAGAAAAAATTTTTGAATTTTTAAGAAAAAAATGTTTTAAGAGAAATATTTTTTAAATTTTTAAGAGAAGTTTTTTTTAGTTTTTAAGAGAATTTTTTTTTTTTTAGTTTTGAAGAGATTTTTTTTAATTTTCAATGAAGAAGCATTATTTTAAGAGAACGTAAAATTAAAAAAAAAAATTTTAAGAGAAAAAAACATATTTTTAAATTTTTTTTACTCTTTTAGATAACAATTTTTTATAAAATTTTTGAGATAAACTAATTTATTAAAATTTTAAGAGAAAAACGTTTTAATTTCAAAGAGATTTTTTAATTTAAGAGAGAAATTTTTTTCTGATTAAAGAGAAAATATCTTAAAAAAACAATATTTCAAAATTTTTGAGAAAAAATTTTAAATTTATAAGAGAACAAATTTTAGTTTTTAGGAGAAAAATATTTTAAAAAAATTTAAGAGAAAAAATTTTAATTTTTTTAAGAGAAAAATGTTGAAAATTTTTATTTACAATCAAAAAAATATTTTATAAATTTTCGAAAGAGAAACAATTTTTCTTTATATTTAAAAAAAAATTAAAAATTTTTAAGAATTTTTTTTCAATTTAAAAGATTTTTTAAATTTATGAGAGGAAACAGTTTTGAATTTTTCGTAAAATTTTTAAGAGAAAAAAATTTTTTAATTTAAGAGATTTTTTTTTTATATTTTAAGAGAAAATATTTTTAAAGAAAAATTATTTTCCATAAGCAAATCAAGGACAAAAATGTATGGAAAAAGATATTCTTCCAAAAGTTTTGTAAAAGAAAAATCATTGTAAATGAAACTCTTTAAAAAAAAGAAAACCTACCTGATCAGCTCGAGCAATACGTTCCGATTCTTGACCCTTCTGATACATATGCAAATACATTTGTTTCTGTTTCTCTTCGTGTTCGGCCAAACGGCGCTGCAATTCTTCCAATTGTTTTTCCAACTCACGAATACGCTCCTTGGCGTGTTCGTAGTCGGGCACAATGTCAGCATAACGTGTATTGCATTCGGCTAACTTTTGCAACAAAGCCTCAATACGATCACAATTCGTACGTTTCATTTCGCTGGTGGCAGCATCCTGATTACGTATCAAATCCTCAATACGTTGCTCGTACAAACGAATTAACTCTTGACGCTGCAATTCGTACTGTTCGACTGTGGCGGCCGAAGCTGCCGATGCATTGGGCGAACACGAAGCGGCCTCACTGCCACAGGCCTGATCGTGTGTATGCAGTGAGGGTGTGTACGATGACGAGTCTTTGGAATGTACTGAAGAAGAGGTCATATCTTCAAAATGTCCCGAATCGGCAAAGGATGATTGCATGTCGGATGACAAATGCAACATGTTCTGATGCTGATGGTGTAGAGAGCTTTGTGGCAAATGTTGCTGATGTAGCATGACTGAAGGGGTATGAGCATGATGACGAGGGCTTGATGTTTTCTGTGCATCATCGACCATATCGACAATGGGTGAAACATCCTGAGAAGTCTTGAGTTCGGCTTCGCGTACGGTGACAGCATCGCTAGAAGCTGAACGTTCTTCCGGCGAACTAAGCGAGGCTTTGAATAAGCGCAATTCGACCACTTCGCGCGTGAGACGTAAAATTTCGGAATCTTTTTGCTCAAGATCTTGGCGAGCGGCACAGAGCAGTTCTTTAAGGCGCCTCAATTGGCGTTGAGCTCTCTGGGTGGGCGTTAAATAATCGGCACCCACCTGGCCGGCATAGTTTGAACAATGTACCACATATTTCATTTTACGACCACTAAAAGTGGTGCCATTTCTAAATCACAAAAATTCTATAAAATTATGGGTTTTATAATCGAAAAAACTATACAACTTACCTGGCCACATAGGGATGTTCACAAGACATTGTCGAACGTCCTGATGTAGTGGTACCGTAGGAGAATAAAGAATCTAAATCATCATCCAAATAGGTTGTAGGCGAATCTGGTGTCACTGGTGGTGTTTTGGGCGTTAACTTTGAGCCCGGTGATGTTTTGCACGATGACGATGTATGATTATGTTGACAATGAGAATGCGTTCCAGTGATGGGAGTAGAAGTAGCTGTGATATGATTACCGGTATGAGGAGTTTTTGGTGATTTAAGTCCTTTTGAAATTCCAGTTGCTGCTGATGATGATGATGAGACTGTTGTTGTGGTGGTCAATGTTAAAGGTCGTGTTTGCTGTGTAACTGTTGATGTTGCAGTTGCGTTTGCTGATGCTGTCGTTGTTGTTGCTGACGTATCAATATGTGCTGTTACACCGTTATGATTCAAAGACTGTTTCGTAAGAAAGGTTAAATTGTTAATAAAATGAAAGCAATTGTTACGTTTAAGTTTTTTTTTAGTTAATATAGTATGTATTTTTTTTTTTCGTTTTAAAGTTTATGAATGTTTAAACGCATTCACGTTCGCATTTATTCATCCACACTCATCTTTCATTTATTAATTTACTTGTTTGAAAAACATAGATTAATATTTTTTTTTCTTCTTCGTTTAGTTGGTATTTGTGAAAATGTTTGTAAAACCACAACCACTAGTATTTTTAGCAAATACATACAAACATAACAAATAACTTTATTAAATAGGTGTAACGTTATTGTTTGCACAGTGGTTTATGATGCGAAAAAAAATTCTCTTAATGAAATCCTGCTTCAAAAATTAACATTACTTAGTACTCTGCCATAATGTAGAAAAATGCTCTTTATTCTTTTCTAGAGTAAAGAAATGATCTCTATAGTGAAGTGCTCTCTTCTCTCTTAAGCAGAGCAGTACAATTTAATCTGCTCTAGTTTAAAGCAATATTCTTCTATAGATCAATACTCCCCACCCTCTCTATTGGGCTTTTGATTAGACTAAAACTCTCAAATCTACTCTAACGTAGAACAATACTCTCTAATCAGCTTGAGAGTAGAATAATAATCTCTACTCAGTGTTTCAGTAGAGCTGCTCTAAGGTAAAACAATCTTTCTAATCTGCTTTAGAGTCGATTTGCTCGAGAGTAGAGAGAAACTTTCAAATAACTGAGCAATACTCTCTACAAAACATTAATACTTTTACATTGCCCTAGAATCCCTACAAACATTTGGAAGATATCGTCCATAGAAGATATCAAAGCAATATTAAATTTTTATAATTTGGAAGAAAATCATCCGAGCAATATTTTTTTGATATCGCAATGTTAATATTTAAAAGTAAAATCGGCAATAAACAATAAAAATATTTAAATTAATATTTTTTTGATTTTGTAAAGTATTTTTTGTTGCCAAATTGTTGTATTTATTTCTGTAAGAGGATTTTCATCCTACGCAATACGTTTAGGATATCGTTATGTTATCGCATAGATGATATTATAGCAATAAAAATATTTTTTTCAAACTTCAAAATATTTTCAAAATAAGAAAAAAACTAATTTTTTTAAATAAATCTTACTACAATAAGTTCATACGCGATAAATTAAGACGACATCATTACAATGGTAATTTATGCTTGGAAAAATGTAAGTTTATCTTTATTTTCACATAAAAAATGGATAGTCATGATGTTTTGGTTTCAGAGTACTTAAAAGAAATCAATATTAAAAGAATCTTCCTGTGGGTAAAACAAAATTGTGCTGGGGAAACGTTAATTTGGCATATTTATATTAATATATTTTCCATATTGTAATATTTTATTGCTAACACTAATAAATGTGTCTTCAAATTGCCAATTTTTTAATTTCTTATACTTTTCTTCCTAAAGATAATAGGAGAATATCTCCAATATATCTTCCAGACGATTATCCGAAGATATCTTCTTATTTTCACCATGCTGATTATCTAGCAATGTCTCTTTTTTGTCTTCTAGGAGTATTGCTTTCGTATTGCTTAGAAGTATCCCCCTGGCCGCACAATCTCTCCCGAAGGAGGTATCTTCCGCAATACGAATATGATTGTTGCCGCAATAATTTTTTTCTTCTAAGCAATACGAATTCGTATCGTTTTCGTATCTTCTTGCTTGTAGGGATACTATATACGTAACTAGAACTCTAAATTAGAACAATAATCTCCAATCAACTCCAGGGCCCAAATTACGGCATACGATATCGATCGAAATCTCAATAGAATCTAAATGGAGATTTCGATAGATATCGTATGCCATAATTTGGGTCTAGAGCAGAGCAATTATCTTTACTCAGCGCTATAGTAGAGCAGAGTAGAACAATATCTCTACTCTGCTCTTCAGTCGATCAGTATCTCTCTAGATTAGAGAACAACTTTAAAATCTGCTTAAGTGTAGAGTAATACTATTTGCTTTACTCTAGAGAAAAACATACTCTACTATAGAGTAGAACAACATTTTCTACTCTACTCTACAATAGAGAAATATTATATACTCTAGCTCTAGAATAAATCAGAACTTTCAGAGTACTGCTCTATACTTTACTCTAAAGTAGAACAGTACTATCTACTCTACTATAGAGTAGAGTTGAACTCTATATTCTACAGTAGAGTAGGTGGTTCTTTCTGTACTCTAAAATCTAGAATAAAGCAAAACTTCGTTTTCTGTTCTAATGTAGATCAGTAGTCTTTTTACTTTGTTCTAAAGTAGGGTAAAACTCTCTACCCTGCTCTAGAGTAGAGCAGTACCCCCTACTTTGATATCTATTCTCTAGAATAAAGAAAAACTCCCTATAATAATCTAGTGTAGATCAGTACTCTCCATTTTATTCTAGAGAAGAAAAGAGAAGAAGCAGCAAAACTCACATGCTGCTCTAGTGTACTCAGGTCAGTACTTTCTACTTTATTCTAGAGCAGAATAGAGCAAAATTCCATTTTCTTCTTTAAAGTAGATCAGTATTACTTCTACTTTGATCTAAACAAGACTAAAACTCTCACCTATGCTCTAGAGTAGAGCAGTACTCCCTATTTTGCCTTCTCTTCTTTGTACTCTTTTGTCTAGAATAGAGAAAAACTCCCTATACTGCTCTAGATTAGATCGGTACTCTCTACTTCGTTCTACAGTAAAATAGAGCAAAACTCCGTATTCTGCTCTAATGTTGATCATTATTCTCTCTACCGCTTCTCTCTAAAGCAATACTCCCTATTCTCTTCCATATAATAGAGCAAACACTTAATGCTGTTCCAGTGTAGATCAGTATTCTCTACTTTGTTCTAGAGTAGGCCAAAAGTGTTTACTTTGCCCTAAAAGAGATCATTCCCATTATTTACTCTGCTCTAGAGCAGAATAGAGAGTAGATTAATACTCTCTATTCTGCTCTGGATTATAGTAATACTCTCTAATCTGCTTTATCTGCTCTAAAACTTAGTAATACTCCCTGCTCTCTTCTCGACAAGATCATCACTGTTAAATCAGCTTTTGACTAAAGCCAAACAAAAAATGTTTATCGAATTGAGTTGAAATAACTGATGTTAAAATTAATATAATTTCGGTAGATCGGTACTATCTACTTTGTTCTAGAGTGGAATATAGAAAACCTCCCTATTATGCTCTAGCGTACTTAGATCAGTACTTTCTACTTTGTTCTATAGTAAAATAGAGCAAAACCCCGTATTCTGTATAATGTAGATCAGTATTTTCTCTACTTTGCTCTAAAGTAGGAAAAAACTCTCTACTCTGCTATAGAGTATACCAATACTCCCTACTTTTATCTCTCTTGCTTGTATTCTCTTCTCTAGAATGGAGAAAAACTCTCTATGCTGTTCTAGTGTAGATCAGTACTCTCTGCTTTCTTCTAGAGTAGGCCAAAAGTGTCTACTAAAAGAGTTCGTTAACATTATTTACTATACTCTAAAATAAAGAGTAGATTAATACTCTCTATTCTGCTCTGGAGTATAGTAATACTCCTTGTATTCTCTTCTCTAGAATAGAGAAAAACTAGCTATGCAGTTTTAGAGTAGATCAGTACTCTCTGCTTTCTTCTAGAGTATGCCAAAAGTGCCTACTAGAAGAGGTCGTTAACATTATTTAATTTACTCTAGAATAAGAATTAGATTAATACCCTCTATTCTGCTCTGGAGTATAGTAATACTCTTTAATCTGCTATTGAGAGCTTTCTTTTCTCTTCTAGAGTAGAACAAAACTCTCTAATCAGCTCTAAAACATAGTAATACTCTCTGCTCTCTAAACATAGTAATACTCTCTGATCATCACTGTTAAATATGCTTTTGACTAAAGCCAAGTAATAATATTGTCTTAAACCACTGTTCATCGAATTGAGTTGAAGTAACTAATGTTAAAATTAATATAATTTTCAAGAAAATAAATATAATGGTTATTTCTTTTGTTTTCTTTTTAACTACTTCTTCATTTTTTTTACTTTAAATGTTGTAGTTAATTATATTTGTTTTTTTAACGTAGTTTGGCAAAAAAATATATAAAAAACCAAAGGTATCTTGTAGCAGTAGTTAATATACTAATAACTAAGTTTATATACATACTTAAAAAAAAGTATAAATAACTATCTGTATATGCTGTGGTTAACATGATTACTATTTGAGTTTAATTTTTCTTCTACATTTAAATCTAACTTCCCAATCACTTACATACTTAATGCATGAGTTAAGCAGAAAGCATATTTCTAACAACTCAAACTCACTTGCATGTTAGAGTACAGTGTAAAAATTCGAAAAAATATGAAAAAATTATAAATTATTATAATAAAATTAATCAAATTTAAGAAAATCATTGGAGCATATTCCAGCAACAAGCATTTTGAAAAAATAATTAAAACTTGTTTGCAGTATGTTTGATAATTTAAATTTTTTTCTACATTATTAATTTTTAATAACAATTTATTTTTATTTTTAAATAAGAGGTCTTTAGCCCGTTTAAAGGTTAAACTCTTCATAGTGATGTTGTCTTCTATTGTCTTGCTTCGATCGTTTTTAACCACAGTAATTTTCTTGGTTTTTAATGTTGGATACCATTAGTATTTGCTAAATATTTTAATAATTATGAGAATTTGGTCAAGAAAATATGAAAAAAAAACTTTAAGACAAGAAACAGAAATTTATCCAAGCGTTAATTCAAAGCTAAAAACCGCACAAACCATTTAGTGACAAGTCAAAAACCGAAAGAAAGTTAATTGCTTTGTTGCGGCTAATTATTTTTTCTGTTTATAAAATTATAGAAATTTTATTGTAAATAATAATAAATTTTTAACAAATTTAGTCAAAACGAATGATTTTAGAATGTGGGATTTATTTGAGATACTAAGCTCTAGGAGAAATCAATTCTATCTAATCTGCTTAAGAATATATCACTAATACAATACTCTC